CACAATGTCAAACTATTTCTGTACTTAGCTCTCAACAGAAAGTCTGTAAATGATAAGACATAATGTTTACAGTCTGTTGTGGGTTCTGATTGGCTGTATACAATGGACATAGAAAAGCTCTAGGTATTATTTGCTGCATAATTTGCTATATAATTTGCCATATTTGCAAAGTAATAGCTGTATTTGCTATATATTTTGCTATATTTGCTATTTACAGGTTAGCGTTTGATGAAGGCAGTGAACCAGATCTATATAATTTGCTATATATTTTGCTATATTTGCTATTTACAGGTTGGCGTTTGATGAAGGCAGTGAACCAGATCTATATAATTTGCTATATATTTTGCTATATTTGCTATTTACAGGTTAGCGTTTGATGAAGACAGTGAACCAGATCTATATAATTTGCTATATATTTTGCTATATTTGCTATTTACAGGTTAGCGTTTGATGAAGACAGTGAACCAGATCTATATAATTTGCTATATATTTTGCTATATTTGCTATTTACAGGTTAGCGTTTGATGAAGACAGTGAACCAGATCTATATAATTTGCTATATATTTTGCTATATTTGCTATTTACAGGTTAGCGTTTGATGAAGACAGTGTACCAGATCTATATAATTTGATATATATTTTGCTATATTTGCTATTTACAGGTTAGCGTTTGATGAAGACAGTGTACCAGATCTATGTGATGATTGTTATTTACAAGATATACATAGTATCAGTTCACTACTCAAGATGTACCTTCGTGAACTACCCAATCCACTACTAACCTATCAACTGTATGATAAATTTGCTGTAAGTATTCACAATTGTATATTTTTTGCCACTTTGGTCAAGGATTTTAAAAGGAATGGAAAGAGGTGTTTCTAAACTTTAACTTGTATTGAGAACACCATATTCACAATGTCAAGCTATGACAAACTCTGCCTTATACCCTGACTGCAATAGCCACTATTCTTGTATCACGTAATGCATCGATTTGATTCGAACGACAATCAAAGCCCTTGACAGAAAGACTAAACATTATGGCATATTGTTTACAAACTTCTGTTGAGAGCTATGATTGGCTGTATTCGGTTGCATACAATCCAATCAAAACGCTTCATTTACAAACTTCCATGATACAAGAAAGGTGGCTATGGCAGTCATGGTATAAGTACGAAGTTCGTAATAGCTTGATATTGTGAAGATATGGAACACTGACTGCATCGTGGGGGATACTGACAGCATCATGGGGGATACTGACAGTATCAATTTAAACAGTTTTATTATAGTCCAATGTCGGTGGTTCTTCCTATTCGTGTGACATTAATAAAATGAATACAATCTTACAGGAAGCTGTTCGTGATGAAGATAATAGACTATTACGTATACACGATGTAGTTCAACAGTTACCTCCCCCTCACTACAGGTTCGTACATTTATCTATGCAGTTGCTTGATTGATAAGTTCTGCAGGTTTCATGGTATCTAAGTTTTCCACATCTGCCCAAAAAATAGTAGTAACTGACAGAATTCAAAACAGTGGAGAGTATAGTCAAAAAATAAATATTGAAAATCTTAGTAAGATGATAGCAATCATTAGTTTGAAGACCATTAATGGCATTTTCTCTGCAATTTTTGCATCTATTGTTCTGTTTTTTTTTTGGAATATTAACTATTAATGACTTTGTAATTCATGCTTTCTGTAGTTCGACTAAAGTGGAATAATTTCTGATTGCTGATGTATATTTTTCAGGACTACAGAATATTTAATGAAACATCTGGCTAAAGTAGCCGCACATGGTCATGATACAGGGATGCATTCTAAAAACCTGGCCATAGTCTGGGCACCTAATTTACTCAGGTAGGGCAATCTCTTCAAAATATTTATTCCATTGACTTGGGGAATTCATTGCAGCACCAACAGCATCAGAATGATTGGTGTGGATTGGACCTCCTACCCCCCTTAAAAGAGGCACGCCCCCCACTTTAAAATTACTTTTCATGGTAAATTTTTTTTGCTTGTTTTTGAAGTCGTATATAAAAGTCGTATTGTATTGTAGATCAAAGAACTAA